GCCCTCAAAGTAGGTAGTCGTAAGGGCTTCAGAGGTCATCGTTAGGGCCATCATAGTCCAGCGTGGCCAAACAAGCCTCCGTGGTGGCGTTCGGAGACCACTGTGGGGCCCTTATAGGTCTTCATGATGCTTGAGGGCCCTCGAGCCCATCGTGGGGACCTCAGATGCCAGCGCGGCCCGTGGAGCCAACGTGGGAGCCCTCAAAGGATGTCGTGAGGGGTCATAGAACCAATAATGGGGCCCACAGAGGCCGTCGTGAGGGCTCTCAGAGTCAGATGCCGCCCAAAAAGTCGCTGTGTGGGCCGAGAGACCGGCATGGGGAGCACCCGACCGTACCGGACTCTCAATAGTCCCAGATCGGCTTTTGTCTCTCATCACAAGTATGTAATACATGATTGACGGGCTGCTTGAAGGACAGCCTACGGATTTAGGGGGGCGTCTTTCCCCATCAGGACAGGGGCATCTTACCCCAAGGTACCGAAGTAACATTAAATCAGCACAATTTGTTAGCCATAAAACTACACCCTGAAACAAACTGTTTGGGACACAGAACACGCATGTTAATGTATCACGACTATAGCAAGGGACGCAAAAATTATCTACCTTTTTTGATATTTACAATGTTTTTACGCCAAAATATTTTTTGAAAGCAGCAAATAAAAAACATGCAATCACCAGCCAGCCGTTGCCCAACTGAGCTTCGCAAGTTTTTGTGCAGTTAACAAGGCAGACTTCTGCTTTACGCTAAGAACATTAATTTCCAGGTTCGATTCTTTGTTTTCCCGCTAGAGGGGGTGGGGCGTCTTTCCCACCCTGGGCATCTTACCCCACTCTCCCCTATGTTATTTATTACATTATGTCTATTGTATGGGAAATCTTCCTTCATGCCGTGTGTGGTGGTCTATATCGGGCTTGGACGGCCTGTGCAACGTGCCGTGCCGTACCGTTGGACGGCGGTGACCTTGTACGGTCACGTGACCGCCTGAGGTGGCGTGACCGGCCGCGCGGCTGAGCCGCGCGGCCGGCGCGGCGGACCGGCAGTTGACCGGCGAGTGGCATTACGGCCGGACTGTGCTTCGTGCGTGAGCCAATACATCTCCTGTGCGTATGAACAGCGAGGCGTGTTGCTGAGAGGCCACACCACTACACCGTGGAGCCCGGGGTGGGACAAGATGCCTCATTTGTATTCACTTCACTTCCTGGCTGGGGATCCAACCACAAGTGAATTAATTTGAGCGATAGAATTTAAAGTAAAGTGTTCAAAGAATGCGCTCGGCCCTAAGTTGCCATTTCGGATGATTTGGGACACAAGTTATTTAGCAAGATGAATTATGTGGGGCGTCATGCCCCAGGCTACCGTACACCGCTCGCAGTCCCCCCGGGCCGGTCTCCCGGTGTGCATATACCGCTCGTCCCGTGTTTACGTTATACGTCTCACGCGCCGCCGGGTGGCGCGGCGACGTTTGCAGCAGCCCGCAGGGACGTGTATTGGCCACGCGGGAGCAGCCTTGATCCGCACAGCCACCGCGGGGCCATTCACAGGCGTGCGCCGTGGATACGGCACGACATGCATTCGCACCGCCGGTGATGTCAAAGCGCAACGCCGGATGCTAACTTAGTGCTGACGTAAATATGTGGTACCACAACTGCGATTGTCCACGGGGTTCCCGGCGCGCGGTGCCCTGGGCCCGCCGGCCGCCGCTGTCAACCTGCGGACCGGGCGGCGGTTGGGCGGGCCGCTTCCTTGGCGGGGCGGCATCAGCAGGGCACCACACCCCGGTGCCTCCTCCTCCCCGTCAGCTAGTGACCCCAGTGACCCCAGTGACTCAGTGACCCCAGTGACTCAGTGGCCCCAGTGACCCCAGTGATCACAGTGACTCAGTGACCCCAGTGACCCCAGTGACCCCAGTGACTCAGTGACCTCAGTGATCACAGTGACCCCAGTGACTCATTGACCCCAGAGACTCAGTGCCCCCGCAGCTTCCGAGTCGCTACTTCTCCCTCCCAATGCCAGAGGCGAGCTTCTGAACAGCAAAGCACCGTTCACGCCACTGTCGGCCGCGGGCAATGTGGCGGCGGCTCATTCCCGGCGGCGCGGGCCGGCCGGGCGGCCGACCCACCTCGACGCTGGCGGTGAAGTTGACCTGCTGGCCGATGCGGAGTCCGTCGCAGCGACTGCGCTCCTCCGGCGGCCCACCGCCCAGACACGACGAGTAGTAGCGGATGCGCACAAACTCACTGGAGTTGTCCTTCATCTCCACAAACGACGTAATTGCCTGCGAACAGAAGTGAAAGAGGCAAGAGACACACACACAGAGAGAGAGAGAGAGAGAGAGAGAGAGAGAGAGAGAGAGAGAGAGAGAGAGAGGGGGGGGGGAGAGAGAGAGAGTTGTCTGCACATAAGATGAAAGCAAGGTGAGAAGAGGCATACGTGAAGGATATGGAGCGAGGCAAGACGAAGAGTATGGCAAGAGGCATACACGATATGGAGACAAGACAAGCTGAACTTTTATCGAGGACAGATCATACCAAAAGTTTCTTTCTTAGAGCAGTTTTGGAGCGTCTGTGAGGCGTCGGTGGCCATGCCGCCCTGTGGTCACTGGAAGCCGAGCGGTGCCGGCCGGCCGGTACTCACTGCGTACTGCTCCTTCACCAGCTGGACGACGTTGGACGAGTCGTTGGACAGGGTGCCCGCCGAGCTGGCCTCGATGTGGCGGCTCAGCTCGTCGTACGTCTCACGCTGCTCGGCCGTCACCGCGAAAATCAGGTTGATGCTGTTCTCCTTCACCTGTGCAGGTCAGTGCCAGTAATGGGGGGGGGAGGTCACAGGGGCAACATCTGGCGGCTAACGCCCAACGGAGCCATTAATATTGCTAGCAAAACTACGAGTTTAGGTGCATGATTCGCTGTTCTTAAAGGCTACCGAATGAAATTCGGACTGAGCCAGGCACCGTCCACGGGCAGCCTCCGAATGAAGTTCGGACTGAGCCGGGCACCGTCCACGGGCAGCCTTGTTTTGCGGTGAACGGAGCTGGCTCCAGTTCAGTGCTGAGGCTGACGCCGGCCATAGTCGGGGCCGTGCCGCTCGCTCTACATGCCAGTGCTTTGGCCCATTGCATTGTTGCGTGGGCAGTATGTTCGGAGCTGATAGTGGCGCTGAGGGCGCTGCCGATCCAGCTGAGGCCGACCTTCTGGTTGATGTGCGACACACTGGGGTAGTCGAGCAGCTCGGAGTGCGTGTACGATCCCGCGGCGTCCAGGTGACACAGGCCATCGTGGGGCTTCACCACGCCGCCCAGCTGCGGTCAGAGCAGACCAGGACTCAGAGACAGATTCAGACTCAGACTCCTCAGACTCAGACTCAGACTCAGACTCAGATTCAGACTCCTCAGACTCCTCAGACTCAGACTCAGACTCAGATTCAGACTCCTCAGACTCAAACTCAGACTCAGATTCGGACTCCTCAGACTCCTCAGACTCAGACTCCTCAGACTCAGACTCCTCAGACTCAGACTCCTCAGACTCAGACATAGAGACTCACACCCAGACTCAGACATAGAGACACACACCCAGACTCAGACATAGAGACACATACTCAGACCCAGACTCAGAGACACACACTCAGGCTCGGACATTAACCCTCGCCCGCACATGTCATTTTCGAATCCTAGAACGCACATGGGGGGGTTGCCAACCCCCCCCCCCACCCCACCGCACCATTTCGTTCCTGCTGGAGATAGAGCTTCGCGGCAAAAACCAACATATTTTTTGGGAAGAGACAAATCCAATGGCACCCAATTTTTCCCCATTAGGTCAATCATTGACCTTCCAGGTCAGGTCAAACTAAAAAATGTTGCTATTCGGGGACACCGTTGGAATATCTATCTAGCGTGTTGTGCCCAATGCCCATCATATACCGATGACGCTGCCGTTTGTGGTGCCAAGCCAGCTAGAGCAGCTCTTTGTCACACTTTCCGACTAGGTTTGTACTGGCTGTGGTCACTTCAGGTCAAGTTAGGTCAAGGTCAATGATATGTGTTGGTATGTCTGTGTGTATACTGATGTGTGCACCGATTGATTTGCGTGTCCCTATTACATGGGATCATGGAGTATGAAGCTTTTACCAAAAATGCAATAAAAAAACTTCACGAAAGGTAAATTCAGCTAACATGAAATGCAACGTTTTTAGATGACCTAGTTTGACCTTGACCTTGACCTTGACCCTGACATCTGTACATCGTCGAATAACATGTTTCATGATAGGTGGGAGGTAAGACTAGCAAAAAAAAAACGAAATCAAGGTGTCGAAAGCTTACAAGACCCATAGCAAAAGCAAGATATTGGTTGTTGGTCATTTGGGTCATGACGTGACCTGAAGAACAATATCATATCTGCGAAACAAAACAAAAAACACAGAAACTTGAAATTTTCAGTGGACGATGAGAAAGGATAGAGAAGCAGTTTTACGAAAAATCAGGCTTCTAGCTTTAAAACTATTCCATGCAGAGCAGAAAAAACTTCCTGGGGGGATGGCAACCCCCCCCCCATGTGCGGGCGAGGGTTAACTCCTCAGACTCAGAGAGAGACTCAGAGTTTGGACTCAGGCTCCTCAGATTCAGACTCAGACAGACTCAAACTCCTCAGACTCAGACTGAGACTCAAACCCAGACTCCTCAGACTGAGAATCAGACTCATCAGATCCTCAGACTCCTCAGACTAAGACTGAGAGACACAGACTCAGATTCAGACTCAGACTCAAAGACGCAGACTCAGACTCAGAGACACAGACTGGGGCTGCAGTCATACTGAGATAAAGACGGTTCGCCCACACTCACAGCCCACTAAGTCGATTCCGCTACATGGGGTCACCCTTGAGTAGATCTAGACATGCATATCGATATGAATGTAGGTGCCTCTAACCTGTATTGCATGCAGGGCTTCAACTGAAACGTCTGCCACGTGTAAAACGCTCTCTACCCGTCCGAGTGGTGCAGCTCCCCCCCGGCCCGCTGCTGACCTGACTTAGCGTTGCTCCCCCCCCCCCCCGGGCCACTTAGCCTAGATGGAGGTCAGTGAGCTGTCCCCTGGGGCACCCTTGTTCCCTGACCTTGCCGTCTCCGGCGTAGTGGAAGCCGGCGTCGGTGGAGAAGACGAGCAGACGGCGCGCGTTGCTGCGCCACGAGATCTCCTCCTTGCACACGATGGCCTGCATGATGGCGTCGAAGCCGCCCTCGGGCGCGTCCAGGTTACCGGACACCTTGGCGGAGCTCACCTTGGTCTGCGCGCGGTCAGGGCATGATGGGTGAGCGGTGAGCGGTGAGCGGTGAGCGGTGAGCGCGCCGCCGCGCCGCAGTCCGGGCCGCTCAGTCCCGGCTCCTCGTACGTGGCTGTGAATTGATATGTGGTATGATAAATGCTGATTCTTCCGAATAGACATTCAATTCAATAGTGTCATTAGCACATTGTTTTACAAAGTGATTATTACCAAAACAATTTCGTATAAAAGTCATCGCAAGAAAGCCTATACCCGGAAGGGCGTTCCAGCCAGCTTCGCCAAGATGGGGGAGGCGTTTTAGCCCGCGCCCCTCTGGGCTATTACCGAACCCAACAATCCTTTGGAGAGGAGTTTCGCTCCCACCCCCCCCCCCCAGCATCTGGGAAAGTTACCGACCAATTTTCAGAACTCAAACAACGTTCAATAGCCTCACCCGGGAGCTACCGTGTGACCAAATTTCATTGACCTGGGTGCAACCGATGACATTACACTTTACAGGTCAGGTGAAAGTCGCGTTTTTGGACAGTTGCCTTCTAAAAATGTGCTATAACATCGAGTCACCAGGTCACGTCAATCAGAAAATGTTCAAAGGCTCGCAACAGCTAAATCGACTGAACGACAACTTTGAAACTTTCAGCGATTGATAAGAACAACAGCATGTATAAATTGTATATCTCGGGATTTTTATGTCTGTGACCTAAGGTCAGGTCACTTTTGCGACTTCTTCATTATAAGTTAATGAGAAAAAAAAATTAAAAGGGGCCTTTTTTGGACGAATGCGGTTCCCAAACTTCTCAAACATCGGTTTATAGGTAAAAATGATACTGATTCGGAAAAATGCACCTGTGACCTCTCTGTGTGCCCCTGAGGTCATCTCAGGTCATGAACGGTCACCAACAGTTTTTTTTTTGCTATAACTTTTGCTAGAGACGTGCTAGAGCGGTACAACACGTCAAATGTATTCAGCTCGACGATACGAATCGACTGATATGCAACATGACCCTTACCGGCCATGTGATGACCTTGACCTGATGTCAAATTTTCAAAATTACCTTTCAAGGTCAACAAATAGTACATTCGTCGCGTCTCAACGAGATAAACACGATGGTGCTGCCAAAAGTAATGTCGCGGCTCTCTTGAGTCAAAAGTTTGTGCTAATTTTCGTGAAAATGGCTATATTTAGAGTTTCTTGCCCACTGGAGGCTAAACCGTTGACCTGAGGTCAAATTTGAGAACCAAGCCCAGAAAAGTCTGTAAAAAAGGGCTGTCGAATGCGCTTTTCCGCGGCGCTGTAGCTCTATTGGTTCCCGAGTTGGCCGTTGGCAGTTTCCAAAAATGTTGAAACTTGAAATGAATAAAAGTTGACCTTTGGTGACCTCTGGTGGCCTGACCTTTGACCTGACCTTAAAAATTGCCGAGCTGTTTCCGTCATTATTTTTGACGCTCTTTCCATAGCCGCTTACCGCGTGTCGCTACGTGGAACAGGAGCCGAGTTAGATGAGGTCGTGAAAACACCCCCCCCCCCCCCAGCACGGCACGGAAAACACAGGCCACCAGCACGGCGCGGGTTATTTTATTTTGCCATCATCGTGCTTCTCTCGTCAAGACGCATTGAATCAGGTAACTATGTATAAGTTTAACTGAATAAGTAAACAGCAAATTTGAACCCAGTTCAAGATCATAACCTGACCGGAAATGAGGCATGATGCATATCCATCGATTCAAATTGATGACTGGAAAACACTCCAGCGGACGGTTATTTCATCGCCCTGCAACGTCCCCATCAAAAATTAGTGTCAAAAATTGCTGGTGGCCTTTCATGACCTAGAATGACCTATTGAGCGACCGTCTGCCATCAGCTGCCCCCTGCCCATTGCGATAGGCAGGGTGGGTCATCAGCTTATAAGTATCTTGTAGTGCTGACGCTTCTTCTTAAAGCCGGACGCTAGTGTTTCTTTCCCTGTCGCCTGATATAGGTGAAGTCACAAATCTGACCTGGTCCCAGGTCACAGATGTAAAAAAAAATCCGAGAAATGTAATTTGTTAGTATTGATACGTTCATGAAACTCGCCGAGTTTGGAAGTTAAAGGAGATTAGCTGTACTAATGAAAGATTCGCAAAAATTTTAGAGGCATGTTAACTTGTGGTGACCCTACCTTAGGTGACCTGTGGCGAAATTATTACACATGATGTTAGCATACTGCGATTTCCATTACACACGAAAAAAGCCCTGGGGAGTGGCCCCCCCCCTCCCCCATCCGGATGAAGGGTATGGTAGCACGATAGTTTCACAGCAGTAATTGAGCACTGTCGGTTGCCAGTCCGCCGGCGCACCGGCGCGCTCACCGCGAAAAGGTCGGTGCTCACCGCGAAAAGGTCGGTGCTCACCGCGAACAGGTCGGTGCTCACCGCGAACAGGTCGGTGCTCACCGCGAATAGGTCGGTGCTCCTGGTGAGAGGCAGGTCGTTGTGGTATCCGTAGGGCGCCGCGCAGCCCGTACACGGCTGCTCCAGACTGAGCCCGGGCAACACAGCGCAGTCAGCACAGCCCGGCCAGCACAGCCCAGTCCCACAGCCCGGCCGCGTATTCGCCAAGTGTATTACACGAATCGGCCCACCAACTAGCGACATCTCTAGTGCGACGTCATAGCCATCCGACGCGACAATGCATGCATTGAGGCTAGATTTGAGTTGAGACTTTTTTGCAATTGTATATGGCTAATCATGACTTCATGTGTCGTCGTAGCCGAGTGGTTAGAGTCTCGGTGTAGTGATCGAAAGGTCGGTGGATCGATTCCTGCTTTAGCGGTTCTTTTCTCTTATAAAGAAGTCGGTCGTAGACACGCATTTTTGGCCCCTACATTCGCACGCCAATATCTTACGCTCAATAAATCTATGACAAGTATTCATCTGATTAAGGAATATGTTGCAAAAGAACTGCAGTTGCGGTCTATACCTGAACTACCAATTTTGTTACGGTACTGTCGATATTCGTCAAAGTCGGAAGAGCTATTATGAAACACACTCGAATGACAACGGATTCCTGTATTATTTCATCGATCAGATAAGACATGTATAGAGATAACTTGATGACAGCTCGCCGTGAGCATGCAACTTAACCCTCGCCCTGGCAGGGGGGGGTCGATGCGACCCCCCCCCCCCCCCTAAGGTTTTTCGAGGATAGCGTAAAAACGGCGGCGCGCAGCGCCGCCAAATTTGGCACAGCCTATGGGGCAACCTTTTTACATATGACCTGAAAATTTCAGGTCCGGGTGACCTTGGGTCAGGTCACCAGGTCAGAAAAACCGGTACAAGGTCATGGTCAAATTTCAATTTTCTTTTTGCACCTGTCCAACTCACAGTTTTCGACTGATTTCCTTCAAACTTTCAGGATGTGCTAAGTTCACCGAGTTGTATAACATATAGTCCGGCTTTTTTGAGGTCACTGATCTGAGGTCAGTTAGAGGTCATTATGTCGTAATGTTAAGCCTATGGGAAAATACTAAATTCGGAAAATACTGGAGATATCCACTTCGTTCTATCACTTTTGTGCTTTGAAACCACGGTACTTAACAGCAGGTCACTTGGTGCTTCTTTGTTTGGTGTACTTATCCATGGGTCAGGTCAAATGAGGTCAACTGAGGTCAAATGACGTTTTTGCCAATAACTTGGCACATAATGACGCTAGAGCTTAAAAAATGGTATCATTGTGTTCCTGGTGATCAGCCGAATCGAATGATATGCGATATGATGCAATTTGGTTAACTTGAACTTAATTTATTAACTTAAGTTTACTTAAAATTTAAGAAAAACTTTAAGTACACTTAAGCAAGCTAAAAAGTATATCATTCGACGCGCCTTGACGTGCGGAGTTCACTGGTGCTTTTCTTTTTGCTCTATCTTAATTAGATCAAAAGTTATAAGCGAAAAACTTTTGACCTGTTTTTAGCGAAATTTTTACATTTATACCCCCCAAAACCCCCCTAAATATTGACCTAGAGCAACCAAATTTGCACAGGGGCGAGAACTCCCGGGGGCCCACCTACCTACCAAATTTGGTGTTTCTAGGTGCCATAGGAGCCAATCGCGAGGGGGGGGGGTCGCATCGACCCCCCCCCCCCCTGCCAGGCCGTGTTATGAAAAATGCCCTGCCAGGGCGAGGGTTAACAATCAGTCCCAAGTTATCTTCATAAACGTCTAATATAAATCTTTTTGACTTTAACTAGATTCCAAGCAAGGGGATTTAGGTATCCCCTGGCGGCTGAAATGTAAAAGTTATAGTTAGGGCATAGCTTCTATAGATGACGCTCTTTTGACGGCTGGAAATTGATAATCTCGTCCCGTGATTACGCTAACAGCTATGCCGAACTTTTTTTGTGCATGGTGATTCTTACACGAAAAACTATCTAATAGCCTGCTCACCAGCGTGCGATTTTTACCTTTCATCTTAGTTTTCGCTACTTTTAGGTACTTTACCTTGCCAAGTGCCCATCTACTTTCAAAAGGTCAGCGCCGCCCCTGTCATATCCAGCAGGAGCTGCGTGCTATCACCCATTGGCAGTGAGAAATATTGATCAATGGCCATCGCCCAGCACCATTTGTCTTTCCATTGGCTACGTTCGCATAGTATGCACTATGCATTAGTGATGTCAACCACAGAACAAAAAGTCAGAAAACCGATACCAAACCAAATACAAACAAAGACCATTGGAAAATACCGAAACCGAACCAATAGGATGGACTGCAAATATTTCTCTTATGCAACATATTCATTAGAAGAATGCCTACCTCTGAATTCTTAGGTGCACGCCGTTGCAAATGTATAAAAAAGAAACGCACAATGACAGATGACAGATGACACGAAAATTGAAGTCGCCGAGTGGATTCGAACCACCTACCTCCATATCACCAGTCCGATACTCTAACCACTTCGCCACGGCGACTACAAATTCGCAGTAGCTTAAATGTCCTTAATTTCAAACCTAGCTTCAATAGACGCCACCAAGGGCGAGGACCGAACTATGACGCCACGCTGACGTCACTCAAGAGGCACGCTATTAGTCGGCCGATTCGTGTAATACACTTGGCGAATACGCAGCCCGGCCAGCACAGCCCAGCCAGCCACACAGCGCAGTCAGCACAGTCCGGCCAGCACAGCCCAGTCCCACAGCCCGGCCAGCACAGCCCAGTCACCCAGCCCGGCCAGCACAGCGCAGTCCCACAGCCCGGCCAGCACAGCCCAGTACACGCCCGCCCGTGCGCCGCGCCTGTCCACCACAGTCGGCCACACCCGCTGCAGCGTGTTAGAGAATAGAGAGCACACCCAACCATTGCTGACTGATGCTTCATAGACATGAACATTGGTCCATGGATAGTGAATACGAGCTGAATAGAGTGGGTGGTTAACTTCAAAGCATGTGGTTTGGTACGTGTGGACGATAAACGATACCTATGTATAAGTAGTGCAAATTATTCAACAAGAATTAAACAGCGTTCCAGAATTTGTTCTGAAAAATAACCCATGCCAATTCGGAAGCATTCGCATTTAAGTCTTGCATCAATATTTCATTGATGGCAATATTGCATTGACCTTTTATACAAGAGGCGCTATAAATGTTTATCACGAATCGATGATGAAACGCCTCCGAAATATATTCAAGTGTTTTTTGTAACTCTTGACAATTTTTAGAATTTTGAACAAATGGTCATTTTATTATCAAATATATGACCTATTACACAGTTCGAAGATGAAGAGCAGACAGCTTTTTTCCTTGAACTTGATTTATGTTAGACACCACGAGTTGAGGCGCACGCTGTTGATATTAGAGTCATTATTCGCATGCCAAGACGGTCGTTCTCCCTACGCACATACTGGCAGCACCCATTGGAATAGAGCTTGTTAGTTGCCACCCGCTCACCATCATGGGTGTAACTTTGTATACTTTCGAGGTCCCATGTGGGACCCCAATGCGAACATTTGGGACCCCAATTGTCATTTTGGGACCCCAATAGTGGAGGCCCCCGAGACGCATCAGCTACTTTGCAAACGGAGGTCCGATATTCATATAAAAGGTTCTCTGTTTAAATAGGAGGCCCCTTGGACAAATCGGAGGCCCTGTTGGACAAATAGGAGGCCCCCTGAACAAGTAGGAGGCCCCCTGAACAAGGAGGCCCCCTGAACAAGTAGGAGGCCCCCTGAACAAGTAGGAGGCCCCCGGAAAACAGGAAGTCCCCTGGAGAAATAGGAGGCTCTCTGGACAAGTAGGAGGCCTCCTGGACAAATAGGAGGCCCTAGACAAATAAGAGGCCCCTAGACAAATAGTAAGCCCCATGGACAAGTAGGAGGCCCTCTGTACAAATAGGAGGCCCCCCTGCAAAAATAGGAGGCCCCCTGGACAAATAGGAGGTCCTAGACCTAGACAAACAGGAGGCCCCTTTCACAAAAGGAGGCCCCTGGACAAATAGGAGGCCCCATGGACAAGTAGGAGGCCCTCTGTACAAATAGGAGGCCCCTGCAAAAATAGGAGGCCCCCTGGACAAATAGAAGGTCCTAGACCTAGACAAAAAGGAGGCCCCTTTCACAAAAGGAGGCCCCCTGGACAAATAGGAGGCCCCTTTCACAAAAGGAGGCCCCTGGACAATTAAGAGGCCCCCTGAACAAGGAGGCACCCTGGATAAAGAGGAGGCCCCCTAAAAATAGGAGCCCTCTGGATAAATAGGAGGCCGCTTGGAAAATAAGAGGCTACTTTAACCAATAGGAGGCCCCTTGGACAAATAGGAGGCCCCCTGAACATGTAGGAGGCACGCTGGACAAATAGGAGGCCTCTTGGGCAAAGAGGCCCCCTAGAAAAATAACAGGTCCCTTGGACAAATAGGAGGCCCCCTGGACAAATAGGGGACCTCTTGAACAAATAGGAGGCTCCATGGACAAGTAGGAGCTAGAGGCTCTCTGTACGAATAGGAGGCCCCCTGGACAAATAGAAGGCTCCCTTAACAAAAAGGAGTCCCTTAAAAAAAGGAGGCCCCGGGACAAGTAGGAGACCCTTGGACAAATAGGAGGCCCCTGCACAAATATGAGACTCCTAGTCGAATAAAAGACCCCTGGACAAATAGGAGGCCCCTGGACAAATAGGAGGCCCCTGAACACGTAGGAGGCCCCCTAGATAAAGAGGAGGCCCCCTGGAAAATAGAAGCCCCCTGGATAAATAGGGGACCTTCTGGAGAAACAGGAGGCCTCCTGGACAAATAGGAGGTCCCATAGACGAATAGGAGGCCGCTTGGACAAATAGGAGGCGCCGTTAACCAATAGGAGGCCCCCTAGACAAATAGGAGGCCCTCTGTAACAGTAGGAGGCTCTCTGTACGTACAAGAGACCGGCGCTGTAGAAGCTTAGCCGTATGTACGCTAGGAGGCTCTCTGTGCAAGTAGTCGAAGTAGGAGGCTCTCTGTACTGTACCTACAATTACAAATAAGAGGCCCCCTGGGTAACTTAGATGCAACACAAATCGGAGGTCACCTATAAAAAAGCGGGACTCTGTTGGAATACCTGATTTAATAAATTATTTTCCTGATATTCAAATTACTTAGGTAATTCAAGGTAGGTACGTTTTTCGGCTACTAGTCGTTTATTGTTTTCGTTTCGAGTTTTTTTCGAGTTTTCGAGAAAAACGTACCTACCTTGAATTAAGATGTCTAGTCGTAAAAGCTTGAAATCATATACTTAGGTAATCCTCGTCCGCACATGGTGGGGGGGGGGGGGCAGTGGTTGCCACACCCCCCACCCCGACCTAGGTAGTTTTTTCTGCTCTGCACTAAACATTTTGATTGCCAGAAGTCGGATATTTCGTATAGCTGCTGCTCTATCCTTTTTTAGCGTCCACTGAAAATTTCAAGTTTCTGTGGTTTTTGGTTTCGGAGATATGACCTTATTCTTCAGGTAATGTCATAACCCAAATGACAAATACCCAATATCTTGCGTTGGCGTTGGGTCTTGTGAGCTTTTGACACCTTGATTTCGGCCTTTTTTGTCAGTCTTACCTCCCACCTATCATGGAACATGTTGTTCAATGATGTAGAGATGCCAGGGTCAGGGTCAAGGTCAACCTAGGTCGTCTAAAAATATTGCGTTTTAGGCAAGCTGAATTTACTTTCGTGAAGTTTCTTTGACTGTATTTTTGGCAAAAGCTTCTCAGTTCATGATCTCATGTAATATGGACACATTCACAGTCGGTGCACACATCAGTATACTCGTACACACAGACACACACAGACATACAAACACATGTCATTGACCTTGAGCTAACTTGACCTGAAATGACCACAGCCAGCAAAAACCTAGTCGGATAGTGTGACAAAGAGGTTCTAGCTGGCTTGGCACCACAATACGGCAGCGTCATCGGTACATGATGAGCAGCGCACGTGATATTCCAACGGGCAACGGTGACCCCAAACAGCAACGTTCTTTAGTTTGACCTGAGCTGGAAGGTCAATGACTGCCTGATGAGGTAAAATTTGGTATCATTGGATTCGTCTCTTCCCAAAAAATATGTTGCTCTTGACTGCGAAGCTTAAAATTTTGTTTGAATAAATTGTGGTGATGTCGAATAAGATACCTACACAAGCAGCGGGCCAACCCATCATATACCGATGACGCTGCCGTATTAGTGCCAAGCGAGCTAGAACAGCTCTTTGCCACACTATCCGACTAATTTGCTGGCTGTGGTCATTTCACGTCAAGTTAGGTCAAGGTCAATGATATGTGTTTGTATGTCTGTGTATGTCTGTGTATGTACTGATGTGTGCACAGATCGGTTTGTGTGTCCCTATTACACTTGATCATGAACTGAGAAGCTTTTACTAAACATACAGTCAAAGAAACTTCACGAAAAGTAAATTCAGCTTGCCTAAAGCGCAATAATTTTAGATGACCTAGGTTGACCTTGACCCTGACTCTGACATCTGTACATCGCAGAACAACATGTTCAATGATAGGTGGGAGGTAAGACTGGCAAAAAAAAAAGCCGAAATCAGCGTGTCAAAAGCTCACAAGGCCCATAGCCATCGCAAGATATTGAGTATTCGTCATTTAGGACATGACATGACCTGAAGAACAAGGTCATATCTCCAAACCCAAATGCCGCAGAAGCTTGAAATTTTCAATGGACGCTGAGAAAAGATAGAAAAGCAGCTATACAAAGAAAATCAGGTTTCTAGCTTTAAAAATGTTAAGTGTAGAGCAGAAAAACTAACTTGGGGGTGGCGACCCTCCCCCCAGGTGCCGGCGAAGGTTAACCCTCACACTTTCTGGGGTCGGCTTACGGCTAGATTCCTTGCGCAATGCTGTGCCGTTAATTTTTTTTTTCTATTATAAAGGCATTGTGTTTTATTGTCAAAAGTGAAAAAGCCAGAAATTTTTGTCGATTTCGGATGCCGCGGGGGATATTTACATACAATGTCACCCTGCTGGCCTGGATCCACCAGTAGGGTCAGGTGACCTACCATTTCTTTATCGATATTAAAAAAAAATCATGGCATCAGAGCTGTGACGAAAAATAAGTGGCCTAAATCCGATGAGAAAACTGGATTTGGGGGTACCCCATGTTTGGCTTCTGAGCCTCTGGTCCCCCAATGAAAATTTCTTAGAGGAGGCCCTGGCGTGGCTCGTAAATTACCGCTTCCGCAATTGGAGGCCCCTAATTGCTTGGAGGCCCCCACTAAATGGAGGCCCCCTTGGACGTTTGGGACCCCAATGGTGATGTCAAAGTTTCACCCATGCTCACCATGCGTATTAGCAAAGTCTGACTTCTGCAGAGGACGGCCCCTGCAGAGTTACCCCGGCGGCCACCTGGCCTCCGCGCCACCCGCGCAGGCCGCTGGGGGGAGCCTGTTGCCACCTGGCCCCCGCGCCACCCGCGCGGGCCGCTAGGGGGAGCCTGTTGCCACCTGGCCCCCGCGCCACCCGTGCGGGCCGCTGGGGGGAGCCTGTTGCCACCTGGCCCCCGCGCCACCCGCGCGGGCCGCTAGGGGGAGCCTGTTGCCACCTGGCCCCCGCGCCACCCGCGCGGGCCGCTAGGGGGAGCCTGTTGCCCCCTTTACTCCGCGCCACCCGCGCAGGCCGCTGGGGGGAGCCTGTTGCCCCCTTTACTTCTCCGCTAATATCGTCGCAAAGCGAAGAGATAGATAAGCGAAACTTTGCACACATGTTCCTGAATAAGTAAGCGCAGATTTGCAAAAAAATTGTATCCAGTTCATTAAAAATGACGTCACATTGACGTCAGAAGTCAAATAATACGTAGATTGTAGATTGGTGTTTCTTAGTTTCGTCACAGAATATCCGCAAATGGCGGGGTGTATGAGTCATATTTTGCACAGATGCAACTGAGTAATACACTTCAAACGGTGTGCTATAATGTTCATTTACCTTTACGCTTCATGCTCAGTGACATCAAAAACACCAAATATCGAAAAACAGCAAAACTTAATGACGTCGCTGTGACGTCATCTTCAGCGCTGCAACCACCAAACATTCCTCAAATATGGCCTAGGTATCTATTTAAAGCTTATATCTTATCAGGTTTCGGAGATATCACATAAAATGTAAGGGGGGGGGGGGCAACTTCATGTCCCTCCCAGCGGCTCGTGGGCTAAAGGATTACTCAAACGAGTAACGAGGTTAGGTACACGACGAGAGACTTCACGATAAATGGACCAGATGAAGCCACTCTTTATGTAGGCACATGCATGCATACACGTACAGCAGGATGGGGAGGCCAAGTGCGAGGAAGCTTTGTGTGAGTGGTTGTTTTGTTAGTCCGACTGGCAGTGCCGGCGCCTGCAGCGTCGGGGGCGGGCCGGCGGCGCTCAGACCGATGGACTCCCGAGGACTCACTTCGAACGCCGCGGTGTCGGCAGTGAGCGCCATTTGGTTCTGGTATCCGTACGGCGGAATACAGCTGTCGCACGGCTCCAGCAGCCTTTAGAAGGTGCCACGACAGCAACAACAAACGCAATCAGCACAAACCACAGCACCGCTCACTGAACAGCATACCGTAACGTGCGGCTACTTGAGACTCGCTGTAAAATGAAAACTGCTCGATATTTTCTTTGCCATTTTTACTCAGGCTGATGTGGAATCAAACAAGAAGTGCCATGGATGACGTGTTTGAAAATTTTGAATTTATCTCGGATTTTTTTTTTTATATCCGTGACCTAAGGTCAGGTCAGTGGCGTGACCTTTCCATTACAAGTCAATGGAGAAAAATGAAAATGCCTCTAGATCCGTGTGTACGCATAGGAACAGTCCAAGTATTTCAGAATCACAATGATTTGGACCACCCGTGATGACCAAGGTGTCATTTTTGCTGATAGTCTCTAGAAAGGTCATCCGAGGTCATTTGAGGCTACAAACAGATTTTTGCCAATAACTCGCGGTTGGAAAGAGATAGAACGATGGGGATGGTCTCATTGTGTTTGTTTTGCCGAGACGCATCGACTGATATGCAACATGACCTTTTCCGGTCAGGTCATGACCTTGACCTGAGGTCAAATTTTCAAGTTGACCTTTCAAGGTTAAATTATAGTTCATTCGACGCGTCTCGGCGAGAGGAACACGATTCTGGCAATAGAAATGTCGTGGCTTTTTGTTGTCGAAAGTTATTGTCGAAAAACACTTTTCGAAAAAACAGCTATTTTTGGAGTGTTTGCCTTCTGGAGGCTAAACCGTTGACCTGAGGTCAATTTTGATAACGACCTTTTCAAAAGAAGAGTTCAAGAGCTACCAAGCGGATACCAACCTTTTGGTATACCGATACCAAACCGATACCAACTTGGTATTAGGTATTTCAGTCCTAATATATTTGGTATTTTGTTGGTATTATGAACCCTCACTTATGTATAAGAGGCTGAGAAATTGGTATAAATTTGGTATTTGCCTCATGTTCCAAGGTTGGTTCGGTTTCGGTATTTCCTCACGGTTTTGGTTGGTATTTGGTTTGGTATCGGTATTCCGATTTTTTGTAATTGACATCACTAGTGAGTACCTATGCTAGAGGAATCTTGGAAACAGCCTGCCAGTGGGACTTAGCTATGTCTTTGTACAGCGAGGTTTCTGATAAGTCGACAAAAGTTCAGTTCCTACCGATTTGCATTGATCTAAGTGAAGAGAGAACACGCTTTCGTTCCGAAGAGGCACAGGTCAAATTATCAGTGAAAACCGAGTTAATGTCGGTATTGTGACACGTTCTATTAAATGAATCGCTGTAAGTCACGTTTTTTATGAAATCGATGAAACTACAATGACAGTCGTCATACGCACGCGGTCACACGTGAGCTAAAGGCCGAGAAATACGGCTATTTGTAGAGCACTTACTTTTTGGGCACGGTGCTGACATAGGGCATCACCACCTTGTCGACGAAGCTGCCGAAGCCCAGCCGGAAGTTGGAGGTGAGCTGCCGCATCTCCTGCGCCAGCAGGTTGCCCAGCGTGGAGAGCTTGTCCTTGTCGTCCTCCATTGACTTGCTGAGGTCCATCAGGTAGTACAGGTCGATCGGGTAGTTGGGAGCCAGCGCGAACTGCACGGCCACCGGCTGCGGCTCGCTGACGCGCAGCGCCAGCCGCACGTGCTGCGGCGCGATCTGGATGGCGTCGGCGGCCGTGGTGGCGGGCAGCGCGCTGCTCAGCGGCAGGTGGCGCAGCACCGTCACCTGGTTGGCCCAGGTGCTGAGATACTCTGCGGCGCAGCTCAGCTCCCCGCTGTGGAACGCCTGCTCGCGGCTACACCGCTGCACAGACGTGTTGCTCGCCGTCACAAAGTCCTGGCGGGTGGCGGCGGGCTCGGGTCAGACGCCGGAGAGCAGATGGCCCTACCGGCGGCCGTCCTGCCGGCTGCCGACCGGCAGTAGTTACGGCCAGCGCACAGTTCACCCACCCTCAGCTGGTGGCTACTTAAACTAGGTCTGCAGATGCGAGATCGCATTGCCGAGAAGGAAAGAAGATCTATAGAGTGAGAGATAGATGTACGTGGAGCTTTTGGGCTTGACATCCAAAACAGGTGCGCACCTAGGCCCCGTTTCATAAAGCGAGTCCGTAGCTTACGCCGGTTTTTGGTCTTGTATTGCAAGTGCATGTGAAGCGATGACGATAGTTTGAATTGTTGAAGTTATTTATCTTGCAAGCAAGAACAGAAGAGAGAAGGGGAAATTAACCCTCGCATGTGTAGGGGGGGGGGGGGGTCGGATGGACCCCCCCCATGGTTTTTCGCGAATAACTCGCGTAAAAAGCGGCCGATCGCGACGAAACTTTCAGTACCCTCGCATTGATCAATTTTACACCTACCCTGAAAATTTCATGACCCTGACCCAAATGACCTTTGACCTGTGACCTCTTTTCCGAGACCATGTTTGGCCGGAATCGCGATTTCGCGTATGTCGGCTCGCACTAGCCGCGTGTTTGCAAGCTTTTCGTGGTTTCAAACGTTCCAACATGTGATTTGATGTTACTGCCGTGTGTGTCAAGGTCACCTGAAGGTCAGGTCAGGTCATTGACCTTTGGTGACCTCGGGTGACCTCGGGTCACTTTTTCGAGTTGTACATGTTTCTAGGCTAGTTTTTGGAGCTGAATTCGAATTTAGCAACCATTTGAACATTTACGAAGTAGTTTTGGTGACTTCGTAACATGTTACGAAGCTGTCAGAGGCGGTTGACACGTACTACGAATACCCGTCACGACGCCTACTGGTTGACCTGACCTGACCTGACCCGACCTGGTCTAAATGCTTCAAGACATCATCTGTGATCAAAACTAACACGATATTCGTGATCAGCACCCCGAAAAACCCCTTAGCAGCCACACTTAACGACTTTCTAACAGGTCCCGATTTTCCCGACTTTGGGTCATTGACCTGACCTGGAAGGTCAATCAATGACCTAGGACCTTAAAATTGGGTATCATCGGCTTCCTCTCGTCACGGGCAACACGGTCGTTTTTTCCGCGAAGCTCTAGCTCGATCAGGGGCCAAACGGCAAGGGGGGGTCCAACCGACCCCCCCCCCCCTACACATTAGAAGCTGGCAAACGCCGCACACATGCGAGGGTTAAAGTTATCGCTTTACATGCGCTTGCAATACAAGCCCAAAAACCGGCGTAATTTACGGACTCGCTTTATGAAACGAGGCCCTGGTGTCAGAGAACCCCCGGTCAAATGTCATTTACAACCTCCATCCAGGCCTCGTCAGATCAGCTGTGAGAGGACCGCCGGATCAGGCCAGGTCATTTGTCAGAGGACCGCCGAGTCAGGTCAGCTGTCAGCTGTCAGAGGACCGCCGAGTCAGGTCAGCTGTCAGCTGTCAGAGGACCGCCAAGTCAGCTGTCAGCTGTCAGCTGTCAGAGGACCGCCGAGTCAGGTCAGCTGTCAGCTGTCAGAGGACCGCCGAGTCAGGTCGGCTGTCAGCTGTCAGAGGACCGCCGAGTCAGGTCGGCTGTCAGCTGTCAGAGGACCGCCAAGTCAGCTGTCAGCTGTCAGCTGTCAGAGGACCGCCGAGTCAGCTGTCAGCTGTCAGCTGTCAGAGGACCGCCGAGTAAGGTCAGCTGTCAGCTGTCAGAGGACCGCCGAGTCGGGTCAGCTGTCAGCTGTCAGAGGACCGCCGAGTCAGGTCAGCTGTCAGCTGTCAGAGGACCGCCGAGTCAGGTCAGCTGTCAGCTGTCAGAGGACCGCCGAGTCAGCTGTCAGCTGTCAGCTGTCAGAGGACCGCCGAGTCAGGTCAGCTGTCAGCTGCCAGAGGACCGCCGAGTCAGGTCATCTGTCAGCTGTCAGAGGATCGCCGAGTCAGGTCAGCTGTCAGCTGTCAGAGGACCGCCGAGTCAGCTGTCAGCTGTCAGCTGTCAGAGGACCGCCGAGTCAGGTCAGCTGTCAGAGGACCGCCGAGTCAGCTGTCAGCTGTCAGCTGTCAGATGACCGCCGAGTCAGGTCAGCTGTCAGCTGTCAGAGGACCGCCGAGTCAGGTCAGCTGTCAGCTGTCAGAGGACCGCCGAGTCAGGTCAGCTGTCAGCTGTCAGAGTGCCGCCGAGTCAGCTGTCAGCTGTCAGCTGTCAGACGGTCAGCTGTCAGCTGTCGGACTCACCGGCTGGGCGCACCAGGCGCAGGCAGGCGTCTGCAGACACTCGCTGCACGTGTGTCGCAGCGTGCACGGGTCAGTGAGCGCCAGCCGGCGCGGCTCCTGAGCGCCACAGAGCGCCGCCGTGCCGCAGAGCAGCCAGAGCGCCGTCAGCTGCCGGGCCGCCATACCGGAGCCACCAGCCGACCGACACCCGCCCTCCGCGTCACTCACTGAAATACCGAACTGCGCTCATTGACGGCATTAACCCGCGCCCCGCTGGGGGTCCTGGATGTCCACGCCCTGCTGGGGGGGGGGGGGGGTTGTATTCCCATTTCTTACTCGACTTCTAGGCCACTTAACAACACCCGGTAAGTGGCATTCGAAAGAACGTCCAAAACAAGGATGAAGGCGATGTGGTTATTTTTTAGGTCAGTTCAAAGGTCAGGTCACCAGAGTCATCAAAGGTAAAATGTTGGCTGTTCAACATTTTTTGAAACAGCGACACATAACTCGGAAATCGGCAGAGCCACAACGCCGCGGAAAAGCGAGTTCGATGGTCCTTTCAACGCTCTTTCTTACCTCTATCCTCAGATTTGGCCTCAGGCTGAAGACTAGCCCGCGCCAGGCCGGTGCTCCGCGACTTCCGCGCCGGCCCGGGGGGGAGGGTGTCTGAACACCCCCCCCCCCTCTAACTCGGCTCCTGGGCCACGCAGCGACACGCGGTAAACGGCAATCGAAAGAACGTCCAAAGTAAGGACGAAATTACTTCGGTCATTTTTTGGGTCAGGTCAAAGGTCAGGTCACCAGAGGTCACCAAAGGTAAAACGTTGGCTATTTCAATATTTTGGAAACTGCCAACGGCTAACTCGTGAACCAATAGAGCTACAGCGACGCGGAAAAGCGCATTCGATAGCTCTTTTAACCCTATTCCTGGCGGGCTCCGCCGGGACAAGAAACTGGCGGGGGGGGGCCGATTCGGCCCCCCCCTGAGATCTCGAGAACGAAGCAAGATAGCGACAAGCGGTAAACGGCATCGGATACGCACGGCCAAGATCTACAATTTTTACCAAGGTCATTTTCAGGTCAGGTCAAAGATGACGTCACAGGGGTCGAAAAAGTCAAAATGGCGGCACTAGATATGGAGAGAGTTTTTCTCGAATAACTTTCGAATTAGTCAAGATAGGAACAAACTAAGGGCATCATCGTGATCCTCTCGTCAATCCGCATCGAATGATATATATGTTGACCTCGAAAGGTCAAGGTCAAAGGTTGACCTCAGGTCACGTGACCTCGAGGTCATCATGTATATCATTCGATGCGTCTTGACGAGCTGAACACAATGAGACCATCCACGCGTCTGTATCTTGTTCCTGTACGGAGTTATTGGCCAAAAACCTTTGGTGACCTTTGATGACGTCACATGACCTCACAGCTGCCCAACAGCAAAACAGACCTCAAGGTAGTGAAGGTTGATCGTATATGAAGTCATGTATGGTATATGGGGCCATTCCGACCCGTTTTAGTGGTAAAAACAGGGAGTTGATTTTTCCCCCATTGACTTATAATGGGGAGGTCGCGAAATTGACCTGACCTTAGGTCACCGATATCAAAATTCTGAGATATACAAATTGCACATACTGGTACCCTAACTAAACCCTGAAGAGAAGAAATTGATCGGTCAAAAACTCTAGCTCTGGCGTGATTGCAAACTTTTCTGAGGTAGGGTCACCAAACCGCCTCTGGTGACCTGACCTGAGGTCAGATCAACTCAAAATTTTCAGACATGTTGCGTAGAAGCCTTTAAGGAAAAGTCAGAAAATTTGAGCTTCCTAGCTCAACGCGTTTGGGAGATATAACCAAAAAACCTCAGGGGGGGGCTCCTGAGGCCCCCCCCCGCCAGGAATAGGGTTAACGCTCTCTCCCAACACGTCCTCAGACTTGACCCCAGGTCAACGGTTTAGCCTCCAGAGGGCAAAAACTAAAAACAGTTTTTACGAAAAGTGTTTTTCGGCAATAAATTTTGACTCAAAAGAGCCACGACATTACTTTTGCCAGCATCGTGCTCCTCTCGTCAAGATGCGTCGAATAAACTATAATTTGACCCTGAAAGGTAAACTCGAAAGTTTGACCTCAGGTCAAGGTCCTGGCCGGAAAAGTCATGTTGCATATCAGTCGATCCGGCATCCGCAACCTCGAGCTGAATACATCTAGGACGTTTTCATCGCTCTAGCATGCCTCTATCAGAAGTTATTAGCGAAAAACTGTTGGATTCTGTTCGTGACCTGAGATGACCTCGGGGACATAACAAGGGGTCACAGGTGTCATTTTCCGGTTCAGTGTGTCAATTTTACCTGCATCCTGATGTTTGAGAGTGTCTAGAATGGCGTTCGTGCAAAAGAGACGCTTTTCAATTTTCTCCTATTGACTTATACCTAATGGAGATGCCACAAAATTGACCTGACCTTAGACCACCGATATCAAAATTCCGAGACAATTGTTTTACATAGATACTGTTACTCTTATCAATCGCTGAAAGTTTCAAGGCAATCATTCAGTCGGTGTAGTTATGACGAGCATTCTAATTTTTTTTTCTGAGGTGAGGTCACTTGAAGTGACCTGGTGACCTGACCTTTAGGGACCTGAGTTTCAAATTTTCACACCATGGGCGGAGCAGACGCATAAACAGGTTTGCCAAAAACCCGCAGCTATTGGTGAGAAGGTGAGAGGGCCAGATTCTGCCCCCTTCCCCAGCAGGGTGCGGATCAATGGTGCACTGGGGATGACTCGTGTGAGTGGTGGAGCGGTCAGGTGAGGGACGGGACGCCACGCCGTCCAGGGTCCACGGTGACCGCTGGACGGCGCCCGGGGAGCCGCCGCCGCTGGTCGGGAGCCGCCGAGCAGCGCGGCGGCGTCCTGTGACGTCGAGACGCCGCCTCTGGTCGGGAGCCGGCCGAGCAGCGCGGCGGCGTCCTGTGACGTCGAGCCGCCGCACACCGGTCGGAAACGCTCCAGCGAGAGGCCAGCGGCCTTTCCGCAAAAGTTTTTTGCTTGTTATTCCACAACTAGTGAAGCAAACTTCATAAAACTTTGCATACCTTCTCTGTCATATGTAAGCTATCATTTGGATGTCAAGCACTAAATATATGACGTGAATCTGTTAAGTTATGACGTCATAATTGAGTATAATACAGGACCTAGCACCACTTTAAGTCAACAAGGGAAATTGGGAGCTGCTATTCGGTTACCGGGAATGGTTTCATGCACTCCTTGCAAGGTCCAGTGCTTGACTTTAGCATTGTTGACTTTGCGTGACGTCATTTATGACGTCACTAAGGCCATATAAGTTTTTTGTCAATAACTCCTGATCAGATGGAGCTAGAGAGTCGGGAAAGCCACCATTGGACTCAGGAACACCTGCCGAATCGAATGATATGCAATATGACCTCCTTCAACCATTTTCGTGACCTGAGGGGCTCCGACCTGACCTTGACCCGAGGTTAACACCTTAAGTTGACTTCACCCGAACACCATGTATAGCATTCAACGCGCCTGAGCTAGACAAACACGATGATGCCAAAATCGCGGCAGTGCGACCATTTTTGGCAAAGTAATTAACCTAAAACCGAACCCGTGCCTTGTGGCACTTACCTGACCTAAGAGTCACTGGCTGACCTAAGACCTTAAAATCGGGTAGTACCTAATTTTTGCGTCTTATAACGGCACACAAGCTTGTTTTTTCCGCGAGGCTCTAGCTCAATTAGAGGCGAAACGGCGAGGGAGTTGTACCAACCCTCCCCGGTCAATATAGAAAACCAATCGGTCCGGCCAGTGTTAAATACCGGAATTGTGATCTAACCCATTAAAGCCGGAATTTTTATTTTTTGATTATTTGGTTGCCCTTAACAAATGTTAGCCACACGGGCCCCAGTAAGAAAACTGTGCAAGCTTAAAAAAATTGTTCCATCGGTTCTCAAGTTATAAGTATGGGTCATAAATGACCCAACCGGCATTGGGGCATAGTCACAAAAGGAGTTATCACGAAAACCGATTTAGCTAGATACCTTATTGTGTATACTGTATAGCGGTTTCAGCCAAACAATATTAAGAGGCACTGCATTGCAATGCTTTGCAACGTCTCATTAACGAGGCCGTTGGTGCCGCTGGCAGGCCTGTGGTGCCCCTGTTAGGCCTCTGGTGCTCCAGAGGGGACACCATAGGCCTGACGGGCCTGTGGTGTCCCTGGAAGGACTGTGGTGCCCCTGGGCCCTGACAAGCCTGAGGTGCCCCTGACAGGCTTGTGGAGCCCCTGACAGGTCTGTGGTGCCATTGCTAGGTTTGTGGTGCCCCTGGCAGGCCTGTGGTGCCCCTGGCGGGCCTGTGGTGCTCCTGCTAGGCCGCTGGTGCCCCTGGGTCCTGGCTGGACTGTGGTGCCCCTGACAAGCCTGAAGTGCTCCCGACAGGCCCGTGGAGCCCTTTACAAGCCCAAGGTGCACGTGCGAGGCTGGTGGTGCCCCTGTGAGGTCGATGGTGCCCCTGGCAGGTCTGTGGTGCCCCCTGACAGACCTGTGGTGCTCTTGCTAGGCTGATGGTGCTCCTGCAGGCCTGTGGTGCCCCTAACAAGCCTGTGGTACCCCTGACAGGCCCGTGGTGCCCCTCGGCCGGCCGAGTCGCCGGCCCGCCCCGCGTCACGGCCCCGGACAACCGGTCCGCTCATGATATCCCAACATCGCTACACTAGGCCTGTGGTGCCTCTGATAGGTCGGTGGTGCCCCCGGGTGCCAGGGGAGGTCATGAGTGACCCATATGACCCCCCCTCCTTTGGATCCGCCACTGTGATCTGATCACAACCCCCAGAAATAAATAATCGTATAATCATCAATTGCTTCCCTTGTATTCAACATACGGGAAAATTGACAACACTATTGCCGGCTGGGTCATTTATGACCCAAGGACATTTATCGAGGAAAAAAAGTTATCCGATGGCGACAAGAAGGGCAAAAATATACATCATGTCTTTTTCAGACAAATTTAGATGCCAGGTGGACGATCATTCAATAGATAGTAAAGTGCAAACATAACATAATATTACTTTTTGGGACGGCGCGCCATTGCCAGTGACCGGCGGCTGTGCAGTCCCGTCGTCTTTGGCTCCAGAAACTTCAGTGAACGAGCTCACACGAGTTATATGCGGCTCCGACGCTCGTCGCTGAACCCACAAATCCAACTAAACACACGCACAAGTT